TACCTATCTTAATGGCTAAAATTTAAAAAATAATAACAGTATGGGGTGGTGGGAAGATGTAGAGTAACTGAAATTCTCACACCCTACTGCTTGGAGAGTAAATTGTTACAGCCAATTTGAAAAACTGTTTGGCAACATCTACTAAAATGAAACATACCTACCATATGACCCAACAATTCTATTCCTAGGTATATACTCAAGAGAAATAAATGCATATGTTCACTAAAATTACACATAAAAATGTTCATGGCAGCTTTATTCATAGTAGCTCCAAACTGGAAACAATACAAATGCCTGCCAACAGGAAGTGGATAAATTATTTAGGATGTACTTATCAGTGGAATACTACATAGGGAAGAAAAAAAAAACAAAAACAAACAAAAAATTAGCTGCTAATACAAGCCACAACATAAATCTCATCGACATGAAATTCCGTAAAAATTCCAGAAACCAAAGGGTGCATACTGTATAATTCCATCATATGAAGTTCAAAACTAAGTAAAAATAATCATTGGTGATAAGTCAGAACAGCGGTTTACTATGTGGACTGGGAGTTATAGATTGGGAAGGGGCATGAGAAAACCCGAGGTGTTGGGAATGTTTTATATGGGTGCAGACACATGTACAATTTCACTGAGCTTTACACTTAAGATCAGTGTGCTTGATTAACGCATTTTACATTTTAATTGGGGTATGTTATACCCCAATTAAAAAAAAAAAGAATGGGTGTTATAAATATGCATACATCTCAGTATCCCTTAAAATCAGCACATATAGTAACTTTGTTTTCTAGAAGGTGGTTTTAAGTGGGACTAGCATCACCAGTGTGATGGCCATCAGTGAGCCCTAGATGGAAAGATTGGTCAGTTCATCCCCTTCAGTCCATTCCTCAGGGCCTCCTCCCAATTAAGAAGACAACCCTCTTTCCATATATAATGGACATCATCCCCCATCCTTACTTCCCCACCCCCCTCAGAACATGAGTGTTTTTCTTATTATTATTATTAGCCCATCCTTTAGCCTGTGTCCTTGAACCCACACAGTCCTCTGTGCAAGAACTGTGTGCCATCCCTCAACTTGCTTTTACTTATCTTTACAATCTTTTCCTCTCAACTGAGTCCTTCTTCTCAGACTACAAACAGCTCAAGTGTCTCCTATTCTTTAAAAAATTCTTCCTTTGACCCCAGTTCCCCCTCTAGCTCCTGCCCAAGGTTTCTTTTTCCCTTCTTTGTTCACTGTCTTCACTTATTCAGCTCTTAGTGTCTCTTAAACTCACAGCTTTGGCCATGTTACTAAAATTCCATGGGCAAAAGTCACCAAAAAATGTTCAAAGGTCACATCCAAAGAACGCTTTTTTAGGTCTTATTTTCCAGACTTTTCCGATGCGTCTGATGTTGCTGATTGCTCTCACTTTGAAACTTCACTCCTCTGACTTTCACGACACCATATGGTCCAGGCTTTCCATGTTCCGCTGACCATTTCCTCTCTATATCCCTCAGGAGATCTGGTTCTTCACACTCCCTTTCTAAGGGCTGTTTTTCTGGGTTGTGCCCTTGGCCCTCTTCTCAGCTCAACTTAGTAATTTTTCATGGATGGCTTCATGGTGTCAGTACTACCCACATGCAGATGACTCTCAAATCTCTGTTTCTCCTGAGGTCAGGGCTATGCAGTCAACTGCTTGCTGGACAGCTGAATGTGGATCTTCTCAGCGTACTTCAAGTTCAGTATTCAAACTCAATCTGCGATTCCACTCTTAAACCTGAAATTCTTTGTCTCAGTTGGTTGTACTTCCACCATTCACCAGATCATCCAAACTAGAAACCCATGGTTAAAGCAGGGGTTCTCAACCTCAGCACTGTTGATATTTTAGGGTGGATCATTCTTTGTTGTGGGGAGACTGTTCTGTCCATGGTGGGATGTTCAGTGGCAGCCCTGGTCTCTATCAAATGGGCGCCAATAGTAACCCACCAATGGTGACAACCAAAAATGTCTCCACACATTGCCATATATCCTTTGGGAGGGGCTGTCAAACTATCCTAGGGGTGAGAACCACTGGATTAAAAGCATGGGTTTAGGAGTCACGTACACCTGTTATGTTGGACTAGTTAGCTACCTCTTGGAGACTTACTTGGTTTTCTCTGTAAGATGGAGACAATTATCACCTCATATGTGGAGCTTAAATAGGGTAATATGGTGAAATGCATGACCTGTCTCATATTGGACATTTATTGAGAGCAACAAAGACCTCTCCCTCATCTTCACAAACTCCCCAGCCTCTCAGTTTTATCTCAGAAGTATTTCTTGTCTATCTATTCTTCTTCATTTGCTATAGACTCAATGTTGATGTCCCCCTTGAATTCATATGTTGAAATCCTAACCCCCAATGTGATGGTATTAGGAGAGTGGTTAGGTCATGAGAGCAGAACCCTTGTGAGTGGGATTAGTGTCCTTATAAAAGAGACCCCAGAGAGCTCCCTGCCCCTTCTGCCACATGAGGACACAGTGAGAAGATGGCCATCTATGAACCAGGAAGCAGGCTCTCACCAGACACTGAATCTGATCTTGGACTTCCCAGCCTCCAGGACTGTGAGAAATAATGTTCGTTGTTTAAGCCACCCAGTCTATGGTATTCTGTTATTGCAGCCCAAATGGACTGAGGCACCATTCCTATTTGGATTATTGAACAGCTTTGCAACTGATTGTCACAGCTCGCAGCCAGCCTTGTTCCCCTGAGATCCATACTTTACAGGACACACAAGGCCTTCATGGTTTGGCTGCTGCCCACCTCTCCAGCCCTAGCTCTTGCCCCTCTTGGCCTTGAATTTCTAGGCTAGCCACACTGAAATAGGAGGCATTCCTTTTATCCCATGCAGTTTCCTGCCCCCATATACAGAGGGTGCCAAAGAAATGTATACACATTTTAAGAAAGGGAAAAAAACTGTATTAAAATTGAAATACTCAATATATACCGATAACAAAAGATGACTACAATTCATGTCTGACTTCTGCAATTAGGAGAGGTGCTCAAAGTGGCTACCATCAGCGTAATTTTAATACTGCTTTTTCCTTTCTTAAAACATGTATATGTTTTTTTGGCACCCTCGGTATTAGCTCACACTGTTCCTTCTGCCTGGGATGACTTCCCACACACCTCTTCATCTCGCTGACTTGCTCTTAAAGGCTCACTCGAATTTCACCTCCTTCAAAAAGTTAAACTTGGATCCTCCTTTTCCATGCTGGGATCAATGCTCCTCCTCTGCGCCCCCTGAGTCGCCTGGGCAGATCTATCTCCTTGCATCTATCTTGTTGCAGTGTATCTCCTCTCATTTATCTGTGTCTGTCTCTGCTGGGGTGCCTGGGGGCAGGGATTGTGTGTTTTACATCTCTATACACATATCATCTAACACATCCCCTGACACACAGACAGTACTCAGCGGATATTTATTGAGTGGAGGAACGAATGTAGCACCACCATTACCCTGTAGTTAGGTTTTAGAGCCATAGTTTAGAAGTGGTTATAACATAGTCCATAAATCTGCTGTCTCTGTGGCTCAGAAGCAGTGCTTCCTCAGCCAGGGACTTGTGGTGGCACAATGCTGACTGGTAACACTTGCATAAGCGTGTGAGGGCGAATAACGATGCGGGGAGTGACACCATGGATATCTGCTTACAACAGCATCAGCTGGCTCTTCTCAGAGTCTAAGGCACTTTCTTCACCTTTTCTATCTGTGGCCTTTCAAGTATCCCAATTCATGGCCCTTCCTGTCAGTGAACTTTTTCTTCTAACTCCTTCACTCACCTCTGGACTCACACACGACTCAGCCATCCCTCAGGGCTGTGAATATAAATTAAGCACTACTATGTGCATAAGCTATTGGAGGTCTGTCTGTCGGGATCCCTCAGAGGCGCCCACCAGGATGTGAGGTCTGCCTCTTCTAGGCGTCGATCACTGCTGGAGCAGGTGTTTAGACACTTCTCTTAGTAGGTCCCAGAAAGGAAGCCCAGGCAGGCACTAAGAAGTTGGAGGTATTTAGACAATCTTGCCTTCCTTCCTCTCCAATAGCAATGTCTTTATCAGCATAAGGTTATGGGGTTGGCCTGTGGAATCCTGAGAACCTGCTAAGTCCCTTTTCAAGCTCAACTTTTCGAGCCTCAGTCTCCCCATCTGTCGGGTGTGTTGGTCGGATGGAGGCGGAAAACATGGAGTAGTAGGTAGATCACTCAGGGCCCTCCCTCCTAGTTTTCAGGATGCTGCCGGGGTGTGCATGAGGGTAGCTCCGACCCCGCCAGTCCACGGAGGCCGGCAGGGCCAGGAAGCTGGGCAACGACACTGCCACCTGGGAAGCCCCGCAGCTGAGCGGTCCCCTGAGCCCGAGGGCGGGCGGGAAAGCTGTGGCTTCAGAACGTAGGCTGGCAAGAAACCTGGCTTCGAGAGGGCAGGGGTCGGCGGGATCGAGCCAGGCGGGGTTGGGGGGGGGCGGGGAGCCCGGCATAATCAGGAAATTCCCAGGAAATTCCTTTCCATTCCCGCATTCCCCGCCCTTTTCCTTGGGAGCGGACCTCTCCGAAGCCTGGGAAAGAGAAAATGAAATATTTTTCGAGTTTCCTCTTGTCCCTTCTCCAGATCCTCGCCATTTGGGTTTGGAGCGCGCGTGGGAGCGCATTAACACCCGCGCGCCAGAGTTCCAGGCCTTCCCGCGGGCGGGGAGTGTGTCCAATTCCTGGTGGCTCCTTGGGGCTCCGGATCACGCTGCCGTTCGGCCCCCGAGCTCCGGGAGGCTTCCCCCGACTTCGGTCGGGTTCAGCTTAAGCTGGTGTCACATGAGCCGCGGGGGAGTGGGAACCCCGGGAGTGGGCGGGGGTGTGTGCGCCAGGAGGGGGCCGCCCAGTCCACCTATATGCGCCGCGGCCCAGCTGACGGATGCCAGGAATTCCCAATGAGAGGCGAAGGGGGGAAGTTTGGGCAACTCCGTCTGGCCAATGGAGAACCTCGGGAGGGCTCTGCCCCTTCCCCCCGCCCCCGTCCGCTTCGCTCCCGCAGCGCTAGTGTGTCTGCCCGGCTCAGTGTGCGTGGAGATCTGGTCCAAGCGCCCGCCCCGAGGCAGGCAGTCCGCTAGCTCTAGCCGCCGCGGCAAGCAGCAACCTTCGCCAACAGCGCTGCGGCGGATCCGGGCGCCGGGGAGCTAGCCCGGCCCCGCTAGCCCAGCCCAGCCCGGCCAGACTCCCTCCCCACGCCAGGGCAGCAGCAGCAGCCGCCGCCGCCAGGAGAGAAGGTGGAGGAAGAAATCCAGCCGCTAGCACGCGCGCACCGTCATGGACCATTATGATTCCCAGCAAACCAACGACTACATGCAGCCCGAAGAGGACTGGGATCGGGACCTGCTCCTGGACCCCGCCTGGGAGAAGCAGCAGAGAAAGGTCAGCAGCTGTCCCAAACCACCGCAGCCCCCCGCCGGGGCCAGCTCCGGCCGCCGCGCTAGCGGCTCAGGGCTCGGAACGGGTTCCAGGCGTGCACCAGCGGGGGCGGGGGATGCGCGGCCGCTGCTAGGTTGGGTGTTGGGTTACAGGCGCGGGGCGGAAGGGAGAGCGCCCAGCCGGAGCGCGGGGAGGTGGGGCCGCCGGCAGGCAGGTCGCCTTGGGGCCGGTGATCCAGGCCACCCGGCTGCCGCTGCACCATCCCCTCGTGGGCAGGGCGCGGGGGCGGTGCTCCTCAGGCTGGGGCTGAATCCCCGGTTCAGTTGCTGCGGCTCGGGATCGATTTTCCTCTCCCTTCTCCGCCCCCTGGCCGCCTCTCCATATGGCGTGCGGTGGCAGCGCGCTTCCTGGGTTGCCCTGGGCTAGGTACCTGGAGCGAGCACGCTGCGCGGGACTCTGTGCCGCCCAGCCTGCAGACCGAGGGGAAAGCGGGCGTCAGGGGGATTGGCAGCCGCCTCTGGGTTGGGGCCGAGAAAACCCAGAGGTGTACGCGGGCTCCCCAGCGGGCCCTGTGGGGGCGGGGTCAGGACGGCAAACCGTTTTATTGCTTAACTCAGTGGGTTTGTAGCTACGTGCGGAGGTGGGCTTGCGTCTGCGTCCTGCCCCTCCGACCCCTGCTCATTCCTGGGAGAAGGCGAATTTGGGCAACTTGATCCGAATTGCGGGGCTTTAGGGCAAAGGATTGTCTCCGCGGGTATTTGGGGTCAGTCACTGGAGATCCCTGCTTAGCCACCGAGCCGCGTCCCAGGCTCCGTGTCCCGGGTGCGCGCTCAGCCACCGGGGCTAGGCTTGCAGCCGGCGATGGAACTCCGACACAGTGGCCAGTAGCAGGAAGAGGTCAGAAACCACTCTTTTAAAGGGGGGAGGGCGCCCCAACCCTCCCTTTGCTTCCTGCCTGCGCGGTGAGCGCTTGCCCCAGGCGGCCACGTACCCTGAACAACCCCCTCTCCCTCCTCCCCCGCTGCCCGCTCCCATCCGGTCCCTCCTCGTTCCATCCCTCCTCGCCCCACCCCCACCCCTCCCGCTGATCTGGGAATGGGGGGGGGGGACAGGATGGCGCGTCCCTCTGGATAGTGTGGTTAGGGCTGGGCTTGAGGGAGAACGCTCATGTCCAAAAATGGTAACATTCATTCCCTTTTTTAAACTTAAAAGGGGGGGAGTTTAGGGAGCCGACTGAAGTTTTTTTTTCAGCCAAAGGCATCCTGTATTAGCTCACTCAGGAATCCTAAGCCCTTTTACTCACTTCATCAGACAAGCAGAGGTAATTTAAAACACACGCACAAAGGGCTTCCTCAAAGCCTGGCGACCTGAGACCCCGGCCAGCTTCTGCTGGGCCCAGCCCTATACATCGGACAGTCTCTGCGCTTTGAGCTGACTTCTTCCAAATGTGGCAGTTGCTTCAACACCCCTCCTCCTCTTCCTGTCAGCCCCCACTCTGGGAGAGCTAGGGGAGAGCTGTGACAGACCCCCACTTACCTGCTGGTTTCCTGGGACAATTGGGCTGTTGGAGCAGAGTAGGGAGTGGGTACTTGTGAGATTCCCATGGGGACCAGGCAGAGGGACTTTAAAAAAAATTTCAGGGTGGAACCTTCTTGAGAACAGGTTTTGAATTGGACAAGAGTGGTGGGATTAGGGTAGTGGGTGTCTTAGGATCTTCCATGGGGAGGAGAACAGAAGGAAGTCCCTGTTTAATGAGCACATACTGTGTGCCTGGGAGGTGTAGGAGTGACTGGACTGCCCAAGAATTAGGAATTAGGCCCTTTTAAAGATGTGGGAGGACTAAGTGCGTGCTGGGCAGAAACTCATCGCCCCAGCACTGAGCACTGGACCTGAACACAGTATTCAGTAGTATCGAATGAATGAATGAATGAATGTATTAAATGTAGTTTGGGAGAAAAATTATACTTTCTCTCTCCATATACCAGGGGTGCCCCCAAAAAAGTATACACATTTTAAAAGATGTTGTGTGTGCTCAAGCAGTAGTTCCCAGTAATCGGAAGTGTCTGGACACTGATGGTAACCACTTTGAGCACCTCTCGTAATTGCAGAAGTCAAACGTGATTTGTATTCATCTTTTGTTATCAGTATAGATTATTACAATTAATACAGTCTTTTCCTTTCTTAAAATGCATATACGTTTTTTTGGCAGCCTCTGTATATTCATAAAGCTCTGGCTTGGGTGGTGTGGGTGTGCCCCAGGCTTCTGGGGCAACCAGGTGGGAACAGGGTCATTTGGGAAATTTGGTCATCTATGGGGCAAGCTCAACAGTTCCAAGAGCTGGCATTGGCTGCTAGGTGCCAGGCATTGTTCTAATCTCTTCACATATATTGTTTCAGCTGTTACTCCCAGCAGCTCTGTGAGCCAGGCACACATGAGGATGAGGAAATAAGGGGCAGAGGAGGAAGTAACCAGCCTAGAGTCCCAGGCTAGTGTGTGGTGGGGCTGGGATGCAGCCATGTTTGGGGCAGGCAGCTTTCCCTCACTTGTCCCTTGTTGTTGGTGAGGGAGGCAGGAAAGCTGGGCCTGGCATCCAGAGCCTGTTGGGATCTCTGGACCAAGGGGAGCCAACACCTGCTTTGGTGGGGTTGGTGGAGGGGGTGGCGGGACATGTCATAAGCTCTTGGCCTGACTCTGAAAATCTGGCCCAAAGTTTTTTTTTCTACCGTGAATTCTCTGTTACCTTGCATGGGCCTCAGTTTCCTCGTCTGTAGATTTCACCTAGTTCTCAGTGGAATATAAAAAAGTGGTATTACATGTGGAGGATCAGACTTAAAGGAACTTGTTGCTTGTGACACTCTCCCTGCTGACCCTGGGAGGCAAGGATTGAGTGGGGGACCAAAGCTGACAAGTGGACCGGAATCACTATTCCAGATGGAAGCAAGAGAGTAAGTGCTGGGTGGGGGGAGGATGAGAAGGGGGGAGGGCGAGGAGGACACAGTGCAGTGGGCTACGAAGTCCACTGGGTGGGAGGCAGAAGATCCTGCTTTTAGCCCTGGTGCAACCATGACTATTTGTGAGACTTTGGGCAAGTCATTTCATTTCTCTGAGCTCTTATGAGATCATTCAACAAATACTTTTGGAGCTCCTACTCTGTTCCAGGCACGCTTTGAGGTGCTGGGGATAGAGGGCTGGCCAAGACAAGACTGAAGTGTCTGTTCTTGTGGCACTTCCATTGTATGTTCTGTCAAGGGGCTGCATTCCTGCCCTGCTAATCCCCTAGGGCTCTTACAGGGATCAGATGAAACAATGTGGTAAGAAGTCCTTCCTTGGTGAATGTGGAGTGATGCAGAGGTGTAGGTAGCAGTCTGTGCAGGCAGGAGGCATGACTCAAGAACCTGCGGCGGGTTGGCCGTGGCTTGTCCCTTCTTCAAAGAATGCTTCAGGGCAGAGTCCATCAGGCTGGATGCCCTGGCTGCAGACACAAAATGCAGTGGCCTAGAGGAATTTACTGGCTTTCAGTCTTCCTGACCTTCAAGGCTTAGCTCCAACGCCGCCTTTCCTAGGGGCAGTAGGCCTGAATGCCCATCTTTCTGGATTGACCCCTAGTCCCCAGTTTATTCCCCCATCTGGATCTTGCCGTTGTCCTTAACGTGTGTGTGCGCGTGCGCTGGTGTCAGGCCGGGCTGAGAGAGCATAGACTTTGAGTAGCATCCTGACTCTACACTTTCATGCTTGTGACTTTGGGCAAGTTATTCAACCTCTGTCCCTTTCCAATTCCTTATTTATAAAAAGAAGCTAAGACCCCCTTCTGCCCTCACCTCACGGGGTTGATGGGAGAAGATATGTAAAATGGCATCGTCTGCTGTTAAAATTTATTCTCTCTTCCTTCTTAAATCCTGGAGGATCTGGTTTAATGTGTATTTCCACAGGTGCCAGCCCTGGGGTTTTTTCCGATGTAGGAGTTTAATCAATATTTGTTGAGCCAATGGATGTTGAAACAGAGAAGTGGCCCTGGCAGGTGTAAGAATGTGGTTGTAAATAGGCCCAGATCCTGATTCTGTTCCCATGTCAAGCCAGGTTGTCAAGCCAGGTTGCAGGAAGAGAGGCCACCTTGTTTACACTTGCTTTTGGACTGCGTGACCATCGTAGGAGAAAACCAAGGCCACCGATTAAGGTGGAGGACTGCAAAGAGGGAAGGCCTGCTGTAGATGGGGAGGAGAGGACATCTGCCTGCTCTGAAGGTTAGGCCTCCTAAAGTCAGAGCGATGATGGACGGAAGTAAAACTTGAGAGAGGAAAGCATTGGCTCAAGCGTCCATCCTCATGCCCCTCACTGTTCTGACGCTTGCCTGCGTCACTCCATGCCAGTGTCCATGGGGGCAGGGACCCAGCCTCTCCTGTTCTCTGCTGAATCCCTACTTCCTAGCACAGAGTCAGGCCTGCTGGAGGTGGTCAAGAAATAACAGCTGAATAATTAGATAAATAGTGCCATGCATGGCACCCAACTCCTGGGGAGTGGAGATAGGGATGAAATGCTTTATATTCTACATAAACCACTCCATCCTGGAGCTGTATCTGGCTCCGGCCTCTGCAGATAGACATGCTCTGGGCACACTGAATTCAGATCGCTGCCCTTTCACTGACTAGCTATGTGATCTTGGGTAAGTCACTTACCTGCTTTGTGCCTGATGATAGCAATGGGAAAAATGGAGATAATAATCATTCCTGCCTGATATAGTTGAGTGGAGGTTAAAACCAAGTAATGTGCATAGGGAATTTAGCATAGCGCCTAGCAGATAGTGAGTGCTCAGTGAGTGTTAACAATTTTGAGGAACCAGAGTTTCTGTGGCCTTGACCCAATATGCTTTGAGATAGGAGTAGTATATAAACCCATCTTAGAAGGAGCCAAGGTTGCCTAGGAATTTATGGGAGTTGTGTTGTCCTTGACCTCTGACCCTGAAGTCAGCTCTGGCTTATTCGGTGTCACTTGACCTCTCTGATTG